CGTTTTTACTTCCCTCGCATCCAGGGAGGCCCACACTGACTCTCTGCAGGGCTCCTGAGTGACAAGGACGCGGAGATGGGGAGGAGTGGCAGTGGCCATTCCTGCCTCTGCATTGCCCTCTGTCTTTGCTTTCCTCAGACCTGGTTATACAGGTTCTCATTTTTAAAAATTATGTTGAGGGAAAAAAAAGGGGCTTGCGTTTGCCATGCGGGTGATAGTATTCTGGTTTGGAGAAGAACTGGGTTTATTTTCAAAGGTGAAAAGGATAGCTTGTCTGGAGCCCTGAGTGCAGTTTCTTGGCCCCGCCTATAGTTGTTAGGTAACACATTTCAAGTATAATTAGTTCCCATCAGTCACCTCACCGGCAAGGGTAAGGATTACTTACCTATGGTGCTTGAAGCCAGAGCAGCGTGACCTGTGGAGACTTTCTCCGAGATGTTATTTGTGGGGGGAGTTTGTTTGTTTGTTTGAATGGTTGCTATTGCATGTGTTTCAGTGTCCCTGCTTGTACACACACACACACACACACACACACACACACACACAGAGTAAATGAAAAATATGAGGATTTTACCCTTTCACCAAATTTAGAAAATTGTCAATTTACTAATTTGCTTTTTTTAGTGTAATGGCCCTTATCATTGTCTGTCTTTCATTTAGATTCCTTCTTCTTCCAAAGACATGACATTTTTCAAAGGAAATTTTTTCCATGGTCTGCCTGCAACCCTGAAGTCTCTTGTTTTTCAAAATCTGGGTTTTAGGGGTCAAAAATCTTGAAGAAAGGTTTAGATTAGATGATTCCTAAGGACCAATGCATTTTAAAATTCATATCTCAATCAGAGACACATGAATAATCTTTTTCCTCTTACTGTGGAGGATAAAATGCACACAGCATATAACCCAGATGCAGAACCAAAAGGATGGGTGTGCAGATGATATAGAAGAGGCTTAGATAGGAAATGGGCCCATGTGATTGTGGAGGCCGAAAAGTACTCAGCTCAAGGAGGCTCAAAAGTAGTCTGAGCTGTAGTGAACAGGCAGGAGACCTAGGAGAGGCCATGGTGCTGTTAACATTTGAATGGATAGACTAAGTAAAGCTTAACCCTCATTAAGGGCTTGGGGATAGTGGTGTAGCTTGAGACCCGGGAAGAGGTGCTGTTGTAGTCGATTCCAAGGGCAAGAAGAATGGATGTCCCAGCTCAAAAGTGGGAGTTTAGATCTGCTTCTTGTCTATTCAAACCTTGAACTCACTGGATAGGCCACACTCACACTATAGGAGACCATCTGCTTTACTTAGTCTATCCATTCAAATGTTAAACTCATCCAGGACACCCTCACAATGTTTGACCAAATAACTGGGCACCCCACAGCCCAGTCAATTACATAACGCATTAAATCGATCACTACACTGAGACAAAATATAAAGCTTCCGCCCTTTTCTTCCTGCCTACTATTCTGGTTTAGATTCTCCTAGTAGTCAACAGTTGTTTGCCAGTTTCACTCTGGATGATACTATTTCGTACAAAGTTTTGTTTTGTTTTGAATCTCTGGATGCAGTAGTGTTTTTAGAACATTTTTATTTCTTACATGCTTCCCAGCTCTTTTTTCTATACTTTTCCATTATTTATTTTTTTTCTGGCAGTGCATTTCATACTTTCCAGCTCACTGGGCTCCATTCTATTGCATTACCTTCAAGTGCTGCCCAGCTACTTGTTGCAGGGCAGTAAGCTTATGAGGAAGCTGGGTAGTGGAATACACAAATATTGCTCCGGCTTTATGGTGGAAGGCCTTGACTCTTGATCTGTGTGCCTGTGGGCAGGTTGGGTTAACACTGTCACAGGATTGAGCTGTCCAGGAGGCTCCAACCCTCCAGCCCCTCCTGCTCGCCTTCTCTCTGACATGATACAACCTTGTTATTTCACCTTCCTCAGAGAAAATACAATTCTTGAAATCATGTGTCACATCGATGAAGCTTGTCTGCAGTAAGCCAGGGGGCAGATTTTAACACTGCCAAAGATTTGTGGTCTCTGTTTTCTGCATCTACGAGGTCAGTGTCCCCAGTGGTTATGATGGAGACCCTGAAAGAGACAAGAAGCAGGGCCCATCGGGCAGCTGGTGCATGGTCACTGAAGGTCCTTATTTATTTCTAGAGACTGGCCATAAGCTACATTCGTATTTTAAGAAATAGTCCCCTGCTCCTGTCAGGAACAGAGAACTTGCAAGGCTTTAATTTACCTTCTCCTGGAACACTTCCGGTCTTTTTTCCACATTCCACTTGATCTGTGAATAAAAGATTATTGAGACAGCCTGACAGAAGTGATTAGACTGCTCCAGTCTTTAAATTCTGTTCACACTGGCCTGAGAAAAATGAGTATATTGATCCATAGACTGAAAGGTCCAGGAGTAGGAGACATCAGGTCTGGCTGGATCCAGGGGCCTCTGTACCAGGACTGCTTCTCACCAACTGTTGGCTCTGCTGTCCACCGGGTTGGCTTCATTATGTAGAGATGTTTTCAAATCCAGAATGGTCTCCATGTGTCTGTTTCCTTGATTCTGAACCAGTGTAGTGTGTTGAATGGGCTTGGCTTGAGTATCCTTGCCCACCCTGGAGCTGGAAGAGAAGTCCTGTCCACCTAAGCTGTGTGTCTTGAGTGAGGGAAGCGACTCCTAAGTAATTCAGGTTGTTGTTACCGGAAGAGTCATAAGTGGGTGCTGAGCAAAAACTCAGCAGATGTCAGACTCAGCTGTAGTTCTCATGGCCCAAAATGATTTTATGTTGTACGTGTATTTGAATTTTTATAGGATAGCTTATATACTCTAATATTTAAAGTGGTTTATATGACTTTATTTATTCTGCCAAAGGATTAAAAATGACTGAGAACATTGAAATTAGAAGAAAAGCAGGGCAGGCCCTTGAGATAAGGTGGGGATAAGACAAATTCTACAGGATCAGAGCCGGTAGGATGGGTGGATGTGACCCATAGATTTGGCTGTGTGGGTTCTGGGTCCCTAGGCGTGGAAGAGTCTATCTCGACCTATACGGAGGGTGGTGTGCACGCACCTGCCCCTGTAAGAGTGCAGGCCTTGATGGAATGGCTGTGGATGATTATCAAGATGAAACAGATGCTGGAGGTGGTACATATGTGCAGTCTCAGAACTCCGGGAGCCAGAGGCAGAGGCAGGAAGATTGCAAATTCGAGCCCAGCCTGGGCAGTTTAGCATTCAAGCAAGACCCTGACTCAAAAGTAATAATTTTATTAAAAAAAGGGTCGGGGATATTGCTCAGTGTGGAGGCCCAGGGTTCTGTCCCCAGTCCTAGGTGATCTATGGCAAACCTCAGCTGTGTTCCATTTCCAGACACCTCTTTGTGGCACTTGCCCTTGGGAACCTTTCTTCTGTGCTCATAGCGTTGTGTTAGGAAACAAAGCTAAAGGACACGAATGAAATCACTGTGTCGCTGGGTTTCTGCCAGGAATCATTGGCGGGTTAGCTGTGCCGCCTTCAAGAGTGGCACTCAGCGAGTCACTGCTGCAGCAGGGCAGAGAAAACCCACCTGAGCTATTATGTAAATAGAAAATGTTTTTTAAAAAAAACTTAAAATTTTTAAATTTCCTATTTTTGTTTTTGGTGGTACTGGGTATTGAATCCAGGGAGTGCGGAGCTATACTGCCAGACCTTTTAAACTTCATTTTGAGACACTGTGTTGCTTAGTCTCTGGGCTGTCCTCGAACTTGGCAGTCCTGCTTCAGCCTCCGCAGTAGCTAAGATTACAGGTGTGTGCCAGCTGGCTGGGTTTTGTTTGTTTTTTCCTTTTTGGTGGCACTGAGTATTGAACCCAGGATCTGGCTCCTTTTTATTTGTTTATTTTTTAATTTTGAGATAGGGTTTCAATAAAATGCTTGAGCTGACCTTGAATTTGCAGTTCTCTTGCCTCAGCCTCCCCCAGTGCCGGGCTACACACCATCACCACACGCTGCTCTGATTCCAACTCCTTTATATGTAAAAATTTAAGAGGCTCCAATAGAGAAGAGAAGATTTATCTTTTATGGTGAACCATAAAGGGCAAGGACGTTTTCTTTCCTCCTCCTTTTTTTTTTTTTTTAAGGAACATCAGGATGCTATTTCTTGGTTGTAAAATAACACCTCTTGGACCCCAGCTCATTCTTTATGCCCCTAAATTCACCCCTCAAGTACTTACCCTGTATGTAGCACCATGGTGAGCATCTGGGCAGGCAGTCTACACAGCAGCCATTTCTGTGAGTTGACTCCAACATGGTTTCTGTTCTCCTCTGTTAGTGCTAGCTATGTGACCTTGGGCATGCTGCTTAACGTCTCTGAGTCAGTTTCCTCCTCTGTGAAATGGGCATAGCAGTCCTAAGAATTACATTCCCATCTAGGGCCCAGGTTAGAGGAGGCAGTGAGTGCCGTCTCCCAGCTCTGGGGATAGGGCTCCAATTGCCTTGAAATTCCCCTGAGCACATACTCTCTGAGCACCCACAGCGTGTGCTGCCCAGCCTTGTGAGGGGTTCAGACATCGTGGTGTAGCTGCTCAGAGAAAAAGAGAGTTAGGTGTGACATCCACCAAGAGCTCAAGTATTGAGTGGACCCATATGCGGCTAACAGTCTTTCAGGGTGGATGTCGCAGTTTCACATGGTTCAGGCTAATAGAAGAATCAGTAAGGTAAGTTGAGAGAAAGGGTGTAGCTAGGTGGCTCTCTGGAGGCTCAGATGGAGGAGCAGCCACATCTGTCAGGAGAGTGACAGGAGGGCTGGGGCCCCAGCAGGAAGGCCGCACGGAGGAGGTTTTGTTTGAGGTGCCCTGCCGACCCTACACAGCAGGGAGGTGGAAGAGTTCTGGGTTCATGTTGGGAACGGTGATCTTATGTGGAGCTTGTAGAGAAATGTGGGCTAGGGCAGGAAGTCAGGCTGGGGACTGTATGCCTTGGTGACCGCGGTCCTCTCCCGAGCCTCACTCTGTTCCCCTTTCTTCCTGGCAGCAGAGCCCCCTCCCTTGCTGCACTCAGGGACATGACTGTCAGCACTTCTACCCCCCCTCAGACTTCACTGTCAGCACTCAAGTCTTCAGGGACATGAAAAGGAGCCACTCCTTACAAAAGGTTGGGGAGCCCTGGTGTATGGAGGTAGGTCTGGAGCATAATGACGGTATGAGATGAGCTAGCTCTGAAATGGAACCGCCCATCCAAAGGGTGCCCCGCGCCAGGGCAGGGCCCATCCGCCTGCCACCATCCTTGAGTTCTCACTGGGTCACTGTCATCTCTGGTGCCATGATGTCTGGCTGCACTGACCGCCAATCGGGATATCATAGCTATAAAAATGCCAGTTTACAAGAAGAGGGTGGAGGTGGTGCTACTGTGCATTCAAGGTGCCCGGCTCTCCATAAAGGCCACACGATCCAGTGTCACGTGAGGGCTTCCGTGAGAATGATGAGGACCATGTTATGCCATTAAACTTGACCCCCAGGAAGTAATTTTCCTGGGACTCTTTATAGCTCCCGGTAGAAGGGAAGTTACGCCCAAACTTTGCCTTTATTATTAGTAATTTGGAACTCAAGAGATTTTTCTTTTAAAACTCAGGATGCTGAGAAATGCTCACTCCTCCTCTACAAGGATTCCTACCGGAGGCAGCCGTGAATGGCTTTTCTTCACAGACGTTGCTCTCCAAGGACAGGAAGCATTGTTAATTTCCTTTAAATAATTCAATACAGCATCAGTACCCCACACTGCTCCGTGCTGGCGAGTGACAGTTCTCTTCAAATTAGTAGTCCCAAGGAATAAAGAACATCTAGAACATGCTTTTATCTCCAAGAAAGCAAAAGTCAGTGCAGATAAAAAAGGAACCCTTAGATTTAAACAGCAAATGACTTAGTACTAATGTTAGTTTTTTTAAAGAAAAGTGAATATTCATGAGCCAATTAGTAAAGTGTCTGTCTTTTTAAAACATTTATTGTATCCCTATTAGGTGCTGGGTGCTGTGCTATGTGCTAAGGTTACTGGGGCTGAAAATGTGGTTTCTCCAGTAGGCAGAGACCTAGAGTGCTAAAGAGCATGCGTGTCTACGCCTTGCCTTTGGAGTAAGTCATCGTTAAGCATGTTGTAGTTTAAGGAGTAGTTAAAAGCCATTTAAGAGAACTTAGGAACATCTGGAAAAGTACATAAAAGAAAATTAAGCCACGTACTCTTAATATCTATGGGTAAGCTCTTAATATTTGGATGCCTGTCTTTCTAGTCCTTCATATGTATTAATCTTTAAAAGTGTTGAAATTGGAATTATGCCTGACACCGGTTTGTGTTTTTTTTTTTCACTGGATAGAGCACCAAGGTTGCTTTTCTGTATTTTAATGCATGTTCCTTCCAGCTAGTACCCCATGTATTTATGTTCTGTGGAACCCCTGCAGTCTAACCACTCCACAGACCCAATGGGAATGAAATGCAACACAGTCCTAGGGTCTTCTGAACTTCTCCCTCTGTCTTGTTTCTGACTGAGCCTGTGCTTGGCCACGCTTGCCCCTGATGACCCGGAGTAGGTGTGTGTGTGCATATGTAACTGGCGTGGACCTCACAGAGCAGAGAGGCCCTTCAGCAATACCCATGCGTGCTGGGAGATTTTTCTCCCCAGCCTCTCACCAGTCAGCTGTTACGAAGCATGGCTGTTCATGCCAGCTGTTAAGGATATAAGGCTGTTCACCCACCAGGACCTGGCAAATGCTAACTCATTAATCTCTGGTCAGAGTTAGGAGGGAGATAAAGGAGAACTGGGTACCCATTTTGATAATCAGGAAACTGAAACAGAAAGATTTGAGTTTCTTCCTTATAACTCAAGATCGGCAGGAACTGATTAGTCCCCTGGCGCCAATGACGCCGAGCATTTCTCAGCCTTGTCTTTGGGACAGAGAAACATCTCCCAAGGAAGCCCCAAAATGCTGCCTTTTTACATGAGGCCTAAATTTAAATTGTGAATAACCTGGACACAAAAATGCCTCTTGTGAACTGTACCAACTTGGGCAGGTTAACCTGACTGTCCCGTGCCTCGGTTTCCCTGCCACATGGGTTATGTATAAAGTGAGCAGGAGAGCTGGTATCGCAGTGGTGTAGGACCAGCAGGAGTCTTGGTGACCCACACACTGAGCATGCATCCATGAGGCGGGGTAGTGGTTGCAGCAACTCCTTTCCACAAGGTCTTCATGGAAGTTTGTGGTGTTCATAGTCCTTGCTACCCAAGGGATTTCAGTGGGGTGTGCAAATCCCTATCCACAGCATGAGTGCGCTAGAAATGGCTCTGGGGAGCAAGGTGGGAAGTGCATGTGATTGGCAGCCAGGAGAACTAGGTTTGAGCCAAACCTTCCATCACCTCTATAATGTAATTCCTGGATCTGTAAAAACAGGGTATAATGGAATACAAGCCAGGCTCACTGTACTGGGTTTCTAGGGAGATCCGTTGCAGGTTCCTATGGTCCAGGTGCTAATATAGAAGATTTGTACCATTATATTAACTCTTCAAAACTGCACAACAACCTTAAGCAGCGGCCACTATAAGTTATTTCTATCTTGTAAACAATAACTGAACCACAGAGAGGTTAAGCGACTTTGGTAAGGTCACACCCTACTGGAGAATGAGCACCGTACATGGCCATTGTCCCTGGTTCTGAGCTTTCCACACCACTCATCTTCCTGAAGGAGAATGCATTTGGTCCTGTTTGATGACCTCTGGCCTTCTTCATTGCTAGGAAGGAACTCTTGACTCAGGATGTCCAAATTTTTAGTTTGCCTCTCACATTTGGGATACCTTCTACCCCATCCATTTTATTATTCACTGTTCCTCCTTGCTGTGCAATGCAGCTTGGGTCTAACCTTTTAGGTATCTTTCTCTAGGAATTCAGATTGGTAGACTAGTTGGGTAAATATGACTAAGAAAGTCAATACCCACCTGGGCAAGCATGACTCACTTTCTAGTTAGCTATTCATGTACATTTTCAAGCTAGCCACACAAAGTCGCTGCATTGGGGCTATTAACATGGCCAGTGGTGACAATAATAGGGTGTGCCCCGAGTCACAACCACATTCAGATAAGAAAGAAAATGTTTTTTTCCTGTAATTGCTTAGTCAATACCGTTTCCACTGAAATACTTGCAAACAGATTTTTAAAAAGTTCTTTGTCTGAACCCTTCCCTTATTCCCTGCTTCCTTCCGCTTCAGGGTTTCTGTAAACTTTTCCTGATCAGCGGCTTTGGGTTAGCAGGATGGTATTTTCTGTCTCTTCTTACTTTTTGGTTGACCTACCCTTTTGCCACTGTTTTTATTTAATCGAGCCTGCTTTTGTTTAATTTTTAGGTGTATGTGTCTGTGTTTTCAAAAGGGGGCACATTCTTGCTACTACGTGCTCATTAACCTCTCAACCTATAAATTTAAGGGAAAAGAGAGACTTCTGCTAAGTTTGCAAAGCTAGTCACATAGACAGGGAGTTAACCAGTTTGGTAAGAGGAAATGAAACTTTTCTTAGGTTTATTAGACCACATCCTATAAATCTGTGGCTTATTATACGTCTGATTTCTAAAAAGCATGGCACCATGGCCAAAGCCTTATTTTTGCTTCTTAGTCACTTGAAACAAATATAGATATTACTTCATTTCCTGGGTACTTTATTTTTCGGTACATGTTACATATGGAAAATCTGGATTTACACGGCATAGTCCATTACCAGGGAAGTTTTCGCTAATATATAAATCATTGCCATATAACTCTGGATTAGCTAGCATTCTGCTAAAGTGGAACTTTTCATTTGTCCCCTCACCCCTGATTAGAAGCAAGGTGAGCAAATGAGCAAAAATACCACCTCCCAAAGCAAAGTTAATGTTTGGACATATTTCTTCTAACTAAAAAAAAAAAGTGCTTTAAAAATTGTAGGTGGACTCATATTGTTTGTGTTTTCTGTTTATTTTATATCTTTTAGTGATAGAAATTGTTCCCTGTGTATGCTATGAGTATTTAAAATGTATTGTTAATGAATGTAGTATATTACGAGTTACCCATTCTAGACATGGTTATCCTTTGGTAGATTGCCTGTCGCTCCAAAGCACAGATGATTCTGATTTCCACTATTAAAACAGCAGAGGCTGTAAGTTGAAAGAGGTGAAGGCAAGATGATTCTGGAACATTCTGTAATGCTCTCATGATATATGTGACCTGTGGATTCCTTGCATAGTCCTGAATCTTTCTGTCCAAAAATGAACCGGCAGCCCGCCTTCCTCTATTTGTGTTTCTTAGGTGGAGTGGCAAGGAGGACCACTGTAATATTTCATTTCTTCCTTTCTGTTTTTCAAAGCTGCTCCTTGAAAGTCTTCTAGGTCCAGTAAGTACACGGATGTTCTCTGCTGATGAACTGTTCTGGCAGTGTAAGTAGACAGCAGGCCTGGAGCTCATTCTGTGCCCATTTCCCATGTTCTTTCTGATGTCTTGGACTGAAAAGAGATGTCCATACGAATGGTTTTCATGTCACCTGGTGCACTTGTCTCCCGCTGGTGAGCTGATGTGCTGGGTGGGCGCCGCAGGCACATGTCGGAGGGGGTCTTCTGAGGAGCATGTCTGTGTGCAGGATGGAGGCGCAGGCCTTGTAGGACCCCTGCACCTGCCAGACTCCACGGGCTGTACCAGTGGCCCTTATCTCAGCGGCGCCTTCCTGTGCCCCATTCTTTGTGAGTCACACGTTTTCTTTGCATTCCCACAACAAAGGTCACTAGCAGGGAAGACTTGGGCCTCTGGATGTTGTGCTCCTCACAGTTTATGATTTTGGATCCTCCTGTTTTGTAATTCTTTGGGGCGATAGGTGAGTTTTTAATGGGCCAAACTGTGTCAAGGGAGACTACTCATTAGCCTTAAGACTTTGTTATTCCTTACAACACCCCAAAATGAAAACACTGGGTCAGTTCTTAGTGAGCATGGTGTGTGTGGGGGTACCTTCCACTGGTGGTTCTGACGGCATCTGCTCAGGCAGCCGGTCTGTGTGCTGCTGGTGTGAGAGTGCTATCTCTTAGAGTTCTGGTGAGAGCGCTATCTCTTAGAGTTCTTGCCTGTCACCCTTCTCTGTAATGATGTCGGTGAGGTAGGTGTTCAGAATTTGGAGACAA